CTGAGCTTTTTATTTTTACTCCTCAAAACAGAAGAAAATATCTTACCTTCATCTCTTTTCCTCTTTTCACCATTGGATCGTGGAATACCAAGAATCCCATTGATGGAGTAGGATCCTGCAGGGTCATTGGAGGCGCTGGTTACAGGCGGAGAAGCTGTGCTTGGTACTGGGAAAGAGACAGAAAAAGAAATAAGCAACCAGCTTGAATTTATAGTGAACATACATGCATGTACAGTGTGTGCTGTGATGCCCCTGCTGTTGCTGGTGCTGTGAGCTGCAGTGTTACCTATAGTATGGCCTGGTGTCGAGAGGGATGTCCCGTCAGGAGACGGATGGAAAGGCTGCTGGACTTTTGTTCGGATGATCCTGGGGAACAAAGGAAAAGCAGATGTCAGCTGCTACTTCTCTATGACCGACATCCCTTCCTGGAGACTGTCCCTAACACGATGCTGTTGGTCACAGCATAGAGATATTACGTGATTAAGATATCAAACGCGACTCATACGCAAGACGTGGATGTGGTCAGTGGTTCTACCTTAAAGGTGAGGTGTGGAGAAAAGTCTTCATTGCACTTTTGGTCTGAGTGATCTTGCAAACAAAGCATGAAATCACATCAATTCACCTCAATGATCAGCTTCACTGACTCTACCTGGCCCACACTAATCAGCTCTCTCTCCCCCACTGTGGAGGGGGTTTCACTGGGGCCGATTGCAGCCATATAGTAGCCCTTTACTTCCCAGATCAAACATCTCTGTAGAACCAGCGGCCCCCATGTGCCAATGCGGATGAGGTTGTATTGATCGGGGCTTGGGGAGAAAAAGTTGGGGATTAGTCACACGGGCAAACAGATGCAAATAGAAAGCTATAAATTATATGTGACAGGAAAGCAATAGTTCCTTATTGCCTTGCACAAGCTTACGCCAGCATTAGATTCCTTTAATCTGAATGGCACTTGGGGAGAAAGGGAGCTGTCACAATAATTTGTAAACTTTAAAACTATTCATCATATATGCCACAAGAGCTATTTTAGAGCACAAAGAAAAGAGGTCGGGTGAGGACTATAGATCCTGATAGCGTTGATTTCTTTGCACAATTCAGATGTTGTTCCTTTATTCTTATTTCTTTGCATGTTTTATCTCAGTAGAATGAAAATATTTACAGGTAAAACTGCCTTGATTACAATTTGAAAATTATATTTCCCTCCATATTATCCAGGAATGCATCAAATGATTTGGATATTGATGTTACTGTATGTGCCAGAAGGCTTCAGAGGAATAAATCCAACACTGTCACAAATAAAAAAAAAGAAAAAGGAGAACTCCCCTTGGAGGCAAAGCTACCTCACAACAAGCCTTTCCAGAGAGCGCATATTGATGTTTTAATTTTTTTCACTTCTCCCCATAACAGTTATTCGACCCCTTGACTTGTGTGTGCTACATAAATCCAAAGACTTTATTTGGTATCCATGTTCTTGATATTGAATAAGCAATTTGAGAGAATGAATTAATGACCTGGCTGTTGCTGAAAATCCCCTGAAGAAATATTAAAATTGCTTTCCTTCTGAATCAATAATATCTAGCGCCATTGAGGACCTTTTTTCTGTTTTGTTTTTATGTCTACCAGCAGGCTATAGCGTTACTTGTTGGTTGTGGGGGCCCTGACTCGTAGTACAACACTATCTCTGTAGCATTTAATAATGCATGCAGGGGAAAGGTGTTTAAATAGAGCATCCTCTTTTGTCAACAGTCCTGAGGTCAGACTGTCTGCCACAGAAACCCACAACTGGCCCCAGTCAGAATCATCCAACTGGAAAAGAGTCTTTTCCTTTTTTTCCCCTGAATTGTCTTAACTGATAAAGCCCTGTTTGAACTTCTCTTCTTGTTTATTTTGCATCAAACTCACTTTTTCTGCGTATTTAAAAAAAAACTTGAAGTAGCATTAGATGATTTGAAGTCTGTTAAACTGACTGAAACTAAGGATGTTTTCATTGATTTTTGCGGGCTGCTTCTTTAGAAACTCAAACATGTATTGAAATATTAACCTCCAGCTAAATCAAAACAAATGCGTGTGTCGTCTCATTTGTGTGTCTGCTCCATTATATGTGAGTGTGAGTGTGGCACTGAGTACAGAGCAACACATTGAAATCTTACATTTTCTTCTGCTAAAAAAAGGAAAATATTCAGCATTAAGCCATAATAGAAATTCAAAGTAGCTCTCATACTGTATGTGGCTGATAGAATTACAGTTCTTTGTATTCACAATTTAATTTCCCACATAAACAAAGACACATAAGGCTCCCCCCGGCCCAAAATAGAAAGCTTTAATTGGAATTGAAAAAACTTTATAGGGCTCTTTTAATGATATTAATGTACGTTTTGAATTTATCACATACATGTGTCTGAGCCTCCTTAAATGGGGCTTTTTAAGCAGCCACGAAGCATGAAATGAATTTTCTTCAGCCTTTTCTCTATTTAAAAGATGTCTTGTGTGGAGCTGTCCATGCTCTCCCATCAGCTCATTAAAATGTAATGCTGATGCTGGCTCTATGGAACAGTGCCTCTTAACCAAAGTTCATCACCAGGGATCTCTGGTGGGGGGGTGTGGGGTGTGTGGAGGGGGTTGGGGTGGGACGGGGTGGGGGTGTCCTGGGTCCTCCTGTAGCTGCCTTTCTACAACTATAGTGCTGTTTACGAATTTCTTTAAGGAAACGGGATTTAATTAAACAGTGACTGTTGAAATGTTAAATATAGATATTTTATATGGTGATTTGTCACATAAGGGTTTTATATAAGAGTTTTAATGCCACAATCAAGGCATAAATTGATACTGCACTTTTATACATCATCATAAAGTTACATCAATATTAATTAGAACAAGATATCGCCTCGAATTTTAATGCAAGGATTTAAATCAGGAGCCTCATTCATAAACAGGAGGTGATTTTAAGGCGCCCCACAATATATTTTTATTCATTTTTATTATCACCTTATTTTGTGATGCAATATTTTTGAACAAATTACATTCAAACCAATTTCTACAAAAATAAAATCTTGCAGAAAAGCCAGTGTTGCTCTCCCTGTGTCTGTGCAGCAGCAGCTCCAGCACATTAGATGTGCTAAAGAAAATTGGCCTGCTTTATAGCGCCACGGGATCTGGTCACCGAATATTGATCGGTTTTCATCTCGACAGATTCACTCAGTCCTGGATGTACTGCTGATTGTTGAGGGAGTTTGGTCTGAAAGATTGAATTGCACCTCTGAGACCGCAGGCAGCCTCGGCGTGAACGGGCAGCACAAAGTTGGTCAAACAATATTCTGTTGTGGGTGGTGCGCTCAGCACAGATACACTGTGATGAATGATTTTCAATTTGCGCTCTCCCTGCCCTCTTCATTAAAGTGTTTACATGCTGCAGCCCGTTGTTTAACCCAACTAAATTTACAAAAGGAGAAAAAAAACAACAACCCAGAATATCCCACATTTCTATGTATTTTTAGGTCATATTTTAATTTTTGTTTCCTACCTGTTAATGGATGAGACGCTGGGAACAGTGTCGTTGTCGCAGATGCCCTCTGCCAGCAGTCTGTCTCTGATCTCCCACGCAAACATGGTTGGGTTTTGTCTCTTGTAGTCTGCGATTTTTTCCACGACCTTTGGCGTGGCCACTTTAGGTTTAGACCCACCAATCACCCCTGGTTTGATGCTGCCAGTCTCGTAATATCTGCAAAGAAAAATTATGTTCTCCAATGAGATGATAGCTTGCAATATTTAAGACGTAATTCTGGCCGATACCCCCCCCCCTTGTCATGCGTTTAACACCATTTAAACGCAACGATACACCCATAGGTGACAGACATTGGGGAGGTTTTGTTTCTGAGAACTAGAATTTTTTTTTTTTCCCACAAGAAAGTGTTCAAAAGTTAAACTTTTCTGCAGCAAAACCCCTAACTTGAGGGGTTCTGTGCGTATACTTGGCGTCTCCAATCGTTAATCATGTCTCAAAACAAACCCAACATTCCTTAAAAGCTGATAAAAAGGCAACAACATTAGCGCTTACATTCATAGACGGAAAACATTATTCTGTAAAATTAGTACCTTTTCAATAACAATACCAACACCAACATCCACACATACAATGACGAGACCTCCACCTAAACTATCCACTAATCTTCAAAACATAGCGTTTATCTATATAATTTAGGACATTTAAAATACAATCACATCTATTTAAAAAATATTAAAAACTGAGCTGAGTTTTGCAAGTTCAGCTCACTCCTCCTCTACCACCACTGCACATAGCTGCATATATATCCATCCACCTCCATCCACCCAGCAGAGTCTACCTGGCTGCAGGACTTGGCTGGAGACTCTTCACCCACCTGCCCAGGATCTTGCTGACGCAGCCGTGGCTGACCCGCAGCTGTCTGGAGATGTCGCAGGGCCGGACGCCCTGGTGGGCCAGCTCCACTATCCGCTGCCTCACCACGTCCGGGAGGGGTCTGCCGTTCACAAACACCCCGCCGAGCTGGTTCACACCTCCGTGCCCTACGTGGGACACAACAGCAGCACACACACAACCGTAACATTACATAAGGTCGTAAGAGAGAGGAAGGCGCAGGTGAGTTTTAAAATATAGTGGAGGCAAAAATGACGAAAAAAAAGCCTTTATAGTATTAAAAAACTGAAGGTCAGTTCCCCTAACTTGTTTTGATAGAGCATGTGGATTTACATGTATTTATGGTGTTTTAAAGGAGCCATTGAGAATGCATTAAATGCTGCAACATTTTCTGTTTTGTTAATTTTTTTAAGCCTTTGTTTTTATTTATTTATTTATTTTCTGTTATCAGAAAGTTGTTTACTGCCATCACTGAAGCGCAATGCATTTTAAACGTTTCATGAATACAGCACAAAGGTAAAAAATATATTATTTTGTCAATCATTATTTCAGATAATTAATTAATTAATTGGTGATTTTTAAAGGCAGTAAAGAGTGGAGATACCACTGCAAAACAAGTGTCCTATAATGAAAGTGCATGTTTTTATAAATATAGTTTTTTAATGGAGCAATAATAGACATTGCAGCTGAAAACTTATTTAGGTTATATGTTTTTGTCAATGCTTGTTAGTCGTATTTCCCCTTCCTTTTGTGTTTTAAAAGAAAGTAATTTATCTTCAACTTTAACCTTTTAAATTAAGATTGTTTTTCAAAATAAAATAAAAGCACACATCAAGTGCTGAACACCTGATCATCCAGCATATATAAATATGTATCTGCCACACTGTTATTCTGCAGCTTGTACAATTGGTACATTAAATCCAACCTACACTGGCCCATGAATATGTGGACCTGTGTCATAACTGCTATTTAAAATAATTAAAATATATATTTATTTGAGTCCAGTATTTTTTTCCTCACAGTCAAAACACAGAGCTCATATTTTCTAAGCAGCTCTACGACTCATGTTGGCTATTAAGTTGCAAGCTCCCTCTTTTCTCCTGCACGGTAATTTTAAATAATTGAACGAGCTTTGATTACTCATATTACATATTATTTGGTAAATGAAGAGGTCATCAATTATTCACACACATTCACCAAATTACACGTCAACCACACTGTATGTGGACTTAAGTTGGACTTACACATCTTGCTGTTATTTGAATAATTTGAATAATACATGTGTAACTAATGTGTGACGACTTATTAGGCCTCGAAACACACACACACACACACACACAGTGCGCGGGAAGCTGGAGGGTGATACACGTGTAAATTACAGAGTACCTGCCAACGCATGTTCTTTGTTTACTATGACAAGTTTAATTTCTGCACATCGCCGCTCTGTGCACAAAAGTACTCCTGCCATTTGTTATGTTTTTTTAAGAATTGTAAAGCAGTTTATTGCCTAAAATTTGCACACAGGTGTTGAAACACGAGGATATTATTTATTCCACTATCAGCCTTATGTTTCCATGTTTGGCTGCATGTCATGTTTATTTAGCCTGCAACTGTTTTTATGCGCCAAGATGCTGTTAGCGCATGAAAGTCGCCATGCTCTCTGCTACAGGCCTTTTGTAATATGCAGAAATGATATATTTCTTCTTGTTATTTTTTTTTTTTATCCGCATACGTGCAAAAAAAAAAAGCTGCAGTGGCAGAGAGAAACTCGGGTTGTGCTACTTACGGTGCATCGCTGTAAAGGGGTCTGCTTTGCAGTGAATATCCATTGGATAGCAAAGGAAAGACAGATAATCAACTGAAGTCGCCGTTTCGCCTTCCTATCAAGGATGAAAATGTGAAGAAAAAAAGGTGATTCTACTCGATGGAGGGACTTAGTTTGCCCCCTCCACCCCCCGGTTCAAACAACCGATCTGGTGGCAACTTCTTCCCCCAAAAGTTGCCTTGCTTTTTTCTTCAACAGTCCGGTCCGGGAGCGGAGGTCTGGCAGGTGCGCAGCATGACCGAAGGATTGTTTCAGGAATACGACCTGTGTTCAGTTTATCGGTATGTTTCAAAAGCCTGGAGTGACCAGAGGTAAATTCAGCATACCAGCGAGCACACCGCGTTTTCTTTCAAAGGTATGAAACGTTGAGGTCCAGCTTGCTGGTGTGTGTGTGTGTGTGTGTGTGGGGTGGTGTTGGGGGGGCGGCCCGGTATCTCCTCAAAATCCTGGTGGCCTTGATTCACGCGTCAAAACGGCGGAGAAACACGCACACACACGCACACATCGGGTTTCTCTCCTGCGCTGGATGCGTTAGGCTGGATCTTTGGGCTGGGAATGAAGCCTCTCTCTGTGTCTGTGGTTCTAAAAGCTGCAACCCTCCCCTCCTTCTCTCTCTCTCTCTTTCACCCCCCCTCTCCTCCCCTCCGCAGACCCCCCTTTTTGCTTATATGGATGACTTGTCAGACAAAGGCAATAGATGCCAACACTTTGTGATTCGCCAACGCAAAAAAAAAAAAAAAAAAGAACCGGGGGTCCAAATGAGGAGGTCTCTGGGTCTGTCACACCGGCAGGAAGGGGAGGGAGATAAATAAGGAATGGATTCGGAGTTGCAGATATCAGAGTTTATTAGACATTATAACAGCTGTGAATTATATGCTCGCTTGTTGGAAGTTCTGAATCAATGAAATAGAGATTATTTTTTAAATTTGTGTGTCTTTCTGATCTTTTTTCCCCCTTTATTACACGGACTATCAGCCTGTCTCTGGGAATATACAGGATATCTCTGTGTGCACAGGTCTCCTCACAAACCCGGATATTTAGCTCGATCCTTCTTTGAATTTTATCTTTTTATTTAATTTTTTTGCTCATCTGTCTTTATATCCACTCTGGAACTCAAGTAGGCCTGATTTGTTTATAGCTTTATCTCGTGCTTCAGTGTGTTATAGAACACGTTAAACGCGATTAGCTGATGTATATAAATGCAGATGTATTGACCATTTTGCGTCCAGCTGATGGTGTGATGATTGCAGTGGTCCAAACTGGGAGCAGTGGTGGTGGTTGGAGGTTGGAGGTGAAACTGATCTGCACGCAGCAGTGCCACTTAGCTTCTGTAGATGGCGCTGTATAGTTTCTCAAATTAAAAGGCGCTGTCAAAGCAGTCTAAAAAAGTAAAACTTGGGGTGCACTTGAGTGCCTGTGGTCCAACTGATAGGTAAAAATATTCTTCTGGAATAATTATCCATAGATTCATGTGAGGTGTTGGGATGAATTAAACAGCAGATAAGATTGGGCTGCAGTATAAAGTCATCTGAATGGGAAATTAAACTAAACAATGCATGATGGAATCATATAAAGTCAAGGTGCATGCTTTGGATCCTATTAACACTCTATTTGTAAAAATTCTTGAGCCCATAGAACATTTTAATATCTTAAATAATCCAAAAAAGTTGTTTTAATTCACCCCATAACTCAATTATTCTTACTATAGAATAAATATAGGCTATATAATACATTCTTAACAAAGTTTACAGTGTTTTAAAAAGGAAAACAACGAAGAAAGTCATAAAAGCAAAAGCATTTTAAAACAACATAACATATATTTAAAAAATACATAAAATATAAATAAATTAAAATCTCATGCTGATCGAAATACCAGTCAATTACTAACTTAATATTTCTGTGTGCCTGAATAATAATAATAATAATAATAATAATAATAATAATAATAATAATAATAATAAAATTACTAAATAAATAAATAAATAAATAAATAAATAAATAAATAAATAAATAAATAAATTATTATTATTAT